TGAACCTTATGTAAGCATTATATCGGACTGCGCATGCATCCGAATGTTGGAAACTGTTTTGGATTGCTCTGAGAACAAAGCTAATGTAAACTACCAAAACAGTGCCTAACCGGAAGTAGTTTGATCCACCGAGCAAATATTTTGTTTGGCCCCTGTTGCTTAATGAAATCGAGATTGAAATGTTACGACTTTTTTGTACAAGTAGTGAACATACGAGGTCTGTTCAGAAAATAACCTCGAAAATAACTGAACTTTATTTTTTAAACTTTATTATTAATTTTATACGCCTTATCTTTGTCCTTGTTTCCTTCAAAGTATTCCCCTGTTCTATGCACTCATTTTTCCCAGCAGTGTTTCCATTTCGTGAAGCATTCTTGGATAACTTCATTTGAAATAGCATTTAAGATTTGTGACGAATTAGCTTTGATGTCACCAATAGTCTGAAAATGGCGCCCTTTCAAAACTGATTTTAATTTCGGAAATAAGAAAAAATCGCAAGGAGTCAGGTCTGGCGAGTAAGGAGGATGAGGGAGGACAATAATCTGTTGTCTCACCACAACTCTGGCTTCTTACTGCAGATTTTTTTACGTAACCTTTGTAAAAGGCCTTGAGAGTGCACATGGTTCACTGTTTCACATTGAGGCAAGAATTCAAAATGCACAATTCCATTAAAGTGGAAAAAACAGTGAGCATCACTCTGATAGTGGATCGAGACTGACGTACTTTCTTGAAGCCTGGAAATCCTCTGCCAATCCATTGTGATGATTCAACTTTTGTTTCAATATCGTAGCCGTAAATCCAGCTTTCGTTTCCAGTTATGATCCTTTGCATGAATGTTACATCGTCATCGGTTTGTTCAAGGAGTTGCTGATAAAAGACTACACGAATTTCTTTCTGTACAACGAGTAACAAATTTTGCTGCAACTCGAAACATGTTCAATTTATTAGTCAAAATTTCATGACATGACCCAGTTGAGATGCTAACCTCTTCTGCAATTTCTCTGATAATCAATCGGCGATTTGCACGTTGAACTCGAAGGCTTTCCTGGTCGAGGATAATCTTCAGTTGCCTGACGACTGCTTTTAAATCGTGAGAATATTTCTTACAACCCAGAGCATCATCTCCGTAAGCTTGTTGAAACTTTTCCGTGAAAGTTTTCCTCAGCTTCATGGAAAAAATTACGTTGCATCGTTGTTCTAGAAAATCTCACATTTCAAAAATCGTCACTAGCACTGAAATAACAATATCAAAACTAAATGAGATATCAATAATCCAAGAACATGTGGTTACAGAGGTTATGCGCAACGCAATGCTACCAACTGCATATCATTAAATATCTCCATTAGCGGGTAATTAAAAAAGTTCGGTTATTTTCTGAACAGACCTCGTACATACCTATAGGTAAAAATTTATTCTTGTAAAATTTGATGAATCAAAAGTAATACATAAAATTCATACATATATTTTTGATATAATTTTCTTCCTTAAGATATGCTGTCGAATATTATTTACTCGGATGAATTTTTTTGATAAATTAGAAAAATTATTGACCTAAACTCCTAGTGAAACTCTTATATAATGGACACACAAATATCATATTCACTGTCAAAAAAATGGTTGCTAGGAATAAAGGAGATTTTAGAAACGTAGTTTTTCTGAAAAAAAAAAAACACCACTTTTACTTATAAACACGTCTGGTTTCAGCAATATGGGATTGAGTATGGAATACTTCCAATAATGAAACAACTATCCTAATTTTTCTAGATCACATTTTTGGTGGTAGATGTCCATGAGACAGATCTATAAGATCTGCCACATTGGTCTCTAATTCAGACTGGAGATTAGATATACTGTTCGAACAAAAATAATTTTGAAAATGTCTGCAAAGTGTTTATGTATTTATTAAATGTGTCAGATTACTTTCCTTTGCAACCTGAATTCAGTAGAACCAAATCTACATTTGTATGAAAAAAAAAACAAGCACATTTAATAAAAATGAAACAATCTGAAATTGGCATTTTTAGTATTTACATGTAAAATGTACAATTTATTTTGTACATATAAGAATAGATTGACACCTTTAACAGTGATTTATTAATTATCTAAAGTCAAAAACAAAACAATTTCGCAAGAAAGTAGTTCATAATTTGCATTGATTTGAATACCCATCATAAATGGTATATATCTATTAATCACATGATGTCTTGTATTATGGTTTATTTTTTAAAAATATTTAATAAATGCATTTATCCAAAAATTATTTAAAAATAGACACACATTTATCATTTCCGGTAGATCTAGGTTAAATTCCGATTGTCTGGTAGCCCTGGAACCATATATACCTATTTTTTATTTATCAATATCTGAATTTCTATATGTACCCAACTGTGTTTCTAAACTAATTTAACAGAAAATTTAGTAAGGGATAGAATTATATTTTTTGTTAATATAAAATTATTATTATTTCAAGTATAAGAGACATCTATTATATACCCGCAATTTTTTTCTAGCTATGCTTTATATGAAATAAATATAATAAATAACCTAAATATAATATTACACACGAAATTAATAACATAATATCTCTAACTATGGAAGAACACACAAAACTGAAAAGTGTAATTCAGTTATGTATATTTTTATGTCTCTTTTTCTGTAGAGATTTATGAATCACGGTCTCATAAAATAACTCCTTCCTCATCCATTCCTTTTTCATAGGTCAAAATAAATTATCCTAAACTAACAAAAAATATGTTTTATAGTCTATATAATAATTGATATTTGAAAATACGGAAACTATGAACGTTATTTGTATACAAATGAAGGTGATTTTGAATTACACATGGGCTAACAGAAGCGTAGTAAATTCTGTTTGAAAACACTAACGGTTGCTTAAATACTTTATTAACCGTTATATGTGGTTATCCGGAAGTGACAGACTAATCGCGGTTAGAAAACGATATCTCATTGCGGAAAGATTATTCTTTTGTTGATTTTTGCAATTTTAGATACAAGGAACAAAAACTATTTAGTGAAATACTCGGGTACTATCAAGCTTTGAGTAAGTATAGCATTGTAAAAGTATATCAACATTACACCACTTTCTTGACGGATTTAATAACTTTTTAGTAAAAAGGACAAATTACAAATTAAAGTGCTGCAACGAAACAGATTCAGAAAGTGATATGGCCGATTAAGGGACATATAAGTAGTAATCGTTTTTCTGTCACTATTACTGCAAAATTACTCTTTTCTTGCAAACACATCTCCGATGAGTGAACTCGGAGAGTTAGACATGCTTACAAAGTAAAAGTAACTAGATGGAGAAAGTGTTCAAATCTCGGTTCAAATAATATTTAGTTCGGCAACAAAATAACCTATATTAATAAATTTGCACCGAATAACTACCGTTTTTCCCTCGGTTTTTCCATATGAAAATATTTATTTGTATTAGGTATAGTGTTTTAGTTCATTTTTAATTTTTCAAAAAAAAAATCCCACAATGTCAAAAAAAGAACTTATTCCTTGTTCAAATTTACCTACCTATGTTGCATTTCAGGATATTTAAAGACTCGTTTAAAGATATACCACATTTCTAAAACACCCTCTTGTACACCTTGTAAATGCATGACTGGAAAATTGATTTGATAGCACATAACAATATTAATCTAAAAATTAAGTGGGTACATATATTACTTTATTATGTAAAATGGAAATTGAATAAATTCATAATATAAATAAATATAAATACGAAAATATAACAACAAATTTGTATCAAACTAAATAGAGTAGGTCCATTTTACAATACTTCAGATTTGAAATAAACATTCATTATTATTTTGTAATACCTAAGTAGGTACATCAACTCGTCATTGGTAGGTATTTATTTTTTTTACATAATATTTTCACATGGGCAGCTATTAAATATGCAGTCCTAGTTACTTCTGGTTTTAAAATTTTTGCAAATAAAAACAAAACAGAAATACTTAATATAAATTTTGTTAAAAATCTCTGGCAAAATGGTTAAATCAATACCTACAAGCTTTTTTCCAAAGTCACTGTCTTGGCAAACTGAAACTTATTTACACACCTATTTTAATTTCAGTATTAACAGCTTCAAAGTTTTAAATATTGATTTAGGTAATTAAATGTCAAGCTTATAGGTATGAGTATGAGGCAAACAGTAGGAAATATATTGTGAATCAAAATCAGGTGATTTACTCATCTACTATTTTTATGTATAGACGCCTAATATGGTTAGTTTCTATTTGAGACATACCTCAACCTAACAACCTATAATAATATAAAATCGTCAATGGGTAAAAAATGTTATTGGTTGATACGTTATCTAAATTGCAGGTTATAAAAAGATTGGTCAATTAATTAACAATTCGCGAGTCAGTATCACACTATAAAATATATTAGAGATGCTCTGCTTACTGAAAAAATTATACAATGGAATATAATACATTCAATTGGAATTTATAACCCTTTTTGTCAGTAGGTATTGTAGACACGAGTGTAGACATATTTCTGTACGTAGAATTAAATGGTAATATTTTGGTATACCTAATTAATTGGTAATTCCTACATGGTAGGTAAGTAAGCGAGTTTAATTTCAGTATTAAGAAAAATAACTAACCGTGTTGGTTTTCTATAAAAGAATCCACGTAAAACATAGGTACCTCTTTTACAAGGTAACATTTGACTCGAAATCGATTTTACTGAAATGAGGTTATGTACCACAGCATACAGTTAGTTAGTTAATGAAAATCAGATTCATTTAAATTTAAAAGCACAAAAATAGTTTTAAGAAACAAATTATTTTTTAAATTCCAATTATTAATATTCATAATTTGGCATTTTTATTTTGAAATTTGATAAAATAGGTCCGAGGTAAATAAACCACATAATTATTCGTCACATGAGGAAAATCGTACTACTCTATAGGGTGTGTCACACCGCTATTATACAGAATTACACAAATGTACAAACTTACCCTAATTCAAGATTAATCAATACAGTTCTAGTTTATATGAAACCCACAAGAATCCAACACCAAATCACAGTCTGTTACACACAAATTTTGCACGTTTATCTAAGTCGAACCGGTACTTGAATTAACTTCGATAAAAATCAAAACAAAATGAATCACTTATGTCTGTATCCTGACAATTATAAGCGTCTCATTAAATACTATTCGTATTTATTTAGGTATTGGACTTTTATCACTAATTTGAACACATTGTTTTAATTTGGAAAGGCGTGCCCAGTCACTGAACGTGCACACGATAGACTCGATGAAGACGCCTATCCTATGAGTTCGCTCGATTTTATTATCTAGGGTTTCGTTCGGGTGGTTCATGAGAAGCATTTATATATAGCTGTCGTTTCTCAGCGAACTTTACCGATGCACGCCGCTCGATGGTAGAGTAGAGAGAGGCAGATTCACATTGGAAAATATTTGTTACAGATTATAGGAATCAGGTGGTTGACTTTTTACGTGAAGCGCAGGTCTCCTGATAAGTTCAAAAATTCTTGCCGTGCATTGAAACATAAACCAGCTTGATGAGAAGAAAAGGAATTAAAATAAAAGAAATTTACCCATACCCTAACATCTGGTCCTAGCTACGGCCCTGCTTGGAAATGGTTAAAAAATTGAAAATTACCTATCATCTAATCACATTCCTTGCACGTTAAAGTAAACATACAGGGTGTCACAGATTCTTAACAATAAACTTAACAAATAATGTATAAAAATAAAAAGTGTCTATCATTTTTCATAGAGCCCCCTTATATCTTCATTATTTTAAACTGAAATGTTTTGACGATTCAGTATGAAATAATTATCTGCAAGAGATTATTCTGATCTACAAGCAATCAAGTTTAATTTTAGTCATAGACGTCCTGTTCTATTATAATTAATAAAGGGGTGTATAATATAATAATACAATTGAGTTTACCTAATGAGGTACCTAATATCTCCGGATGTGACCTTGAGAATACGATTATTTGGGATTAAAGCACATACTTCTATCCTATACTGATCATTTTGCAATTGACTTGAAGCCGTAAAGTGGGGCGACGTACCAGCGTATTCATGCGCATGCGTTTACTTTACGGGTTTTGATTGGTTGAAAGGAACCAAGAACGGTGAGCGCGACGAATAAATAAATAAATGTATCTTTTGAGTTTTATTTCATAATCTGTTTAAACCTGCACTAATTCTTCTATTAATTTATCTTGTGTTGATATTTAGTTAAAATGTTTCAAAATTATACTCGATAAGAGCATTCCTTAATCGTGGACATTATTATCGGATTGGTCTCTTGCAGATATTTTATAGCATGTTTTTTTATATTATCAAATAAACTGCAGAAACCACTATAATAAATAATTATATAATAAACTTTTTTTTATAAAAAAAAAGATTGTCAGTTGTGACCGGCTAGAGCGAATAGTGGCGATTTTTTGAAATACTAAGTCTTGTTTAATAAATACACCAGTCATTTAAAAAAATGTCCAAAATTACGAACATGCCTATGTACATAGTTTTAAAAACATATAAATTTGTATTCTGTTTTATTTTATTTGGGCCTGCAAAATATTAATAGGTTATACATATACTTACGTTAATTATTGAAATTAATAAATAGTAAAATAATGTGTTAAATAAGGAGCCTATCGATAGAGGACTCATAGAAGAAAATGGTAGAAAAGTAAACATTTAGAAATTGAAGTGAACTCATGCACAATCAGTGAAAATAGATTATGTGTATATAATCGGCTATATTACAGAGCATGCCGTGACAATCTTTTAAATTTGAATGCAACCGCTCCTAATTATGGAACATGCGCAAAACACATGGAGTACGTCTCGCCCCCACTTTTTTTAAACCAGGTCAACCATTGAAACTATAGGTAATGATCAGTATAGGATAGAAGTATGTGAATTAAAGCCATGAAAAGTGGGAAATTTTATCTCTTTCTCTCTCATTTTAATTCCAAAATATGGCCCAGATTATGAAGACGGAAAAGTATGCGGCAATATTCAGTAGACCGCATTGGTGGATTCTCCATTGAGTGCAGAATGGGGAAATGAACTGACACAAGCAAATGTTTTTCCACCCTAACATATTATCTCTTTACGAGTATACCATGACATTGGTCGTCCTGGCGCGGAGATCAAACCCGCAGCGGTGGCAACAACGATACACAGACTTACATATTAAACGTTATAGCAACGAGCTATCCCAAATCCAAAAATATCTAATATATGTACGTACTCAATAAACCATAGGCCTATTATGAGTTTCCATGACTTTAGATTCCCTCATCTGACATTAAGCCTCCTAATTAAGCTTTACAGGTTTGGCGACGGCTCTTTGATAAAGCTACCATCTTCCAGTTTTTCTCTTCCGAATAGTAGAAGTACACTCTTATTGAACCTTGACACAGACAGGTACGTATGCTGTCTTCTACCACTCCAATATTACTCATATGTTTACTATTATTTTTACTAATCTGTGATTTCATTTTAATAGTCTGCTGTCAACTTCTTTAATGGTCCTTTGAGAACTTTTTGGCTTACCTCTGATCAGGGGTTTTCTGCCATCATTTTTAGGCTTTGTGTTTTATCTATTCCTGCAATTCCTACAATAGTGTCTTAACAACTGGCAATGCCACAAGGGGGTTTCGACCCCTATGAACTTGCTTTGGCCGAGATTACTTGTTTGTCTTCCTAACCGACCTGGAAGACTTCGAATAAAGAAAGAAACCTTTTTTTAGCCCCACAGATACCAGCTCCTTTGTCTTTCTTTATGTCGTCCCAATACCAGTTTTTCATTTTTGGTATAACTATTTTAAAAATCTTTTCTACAGTTATTTCGGTGGCTGAATGGTCAGCTAACATTGCTAAAACCACATGTGCCTTTAACGTATCGTTCAGCTTTTGGTATACCTTGGATAATTAGTGGATATCCATGTTGCAGTCTATAACATATAGACCTACCTTATCTTTGAATAAAGTTATTTAGGGAAACAGGGACACCTGTGACCTGTGAGAGAGATGAACAATATTTTTACATTTCAATTCTATTAAGAATTCATCGGTTACTGGAAACTCCGCATGTCGCCTCAACAGGAATACAGAACTTTTTTATGAAGATTTTAGATAATGTAAAAGCGGTCGTATGTATAGGCGAAAATAGCTACAGGTCGTCATTGGGGGCACAAAACTCTTAGAAAGCAATTTAGAACATGTGTTTATTTATAACTTTTTTCTTATTTTTCGATATTGAATTCAATTATGGCGTTTGGTAAGTTAATTGGACACCCGATTTGATGGCACATTCATTTTCATAGATGGGAGAACCGTTAAAATCGATTTTACTCGGAAATAGTACATCGTGACGAAGTTCAATAAAAACATCTTTCTTTTGTAAAAATGTTTTTTAGTTGCTATGTTAGCACCTTTAAATTTCGCTATAAACTAGGAAAAATTGCCCATGGAGAAGTTCGGATAGCTTTACTTCGACAAGTTCCACCCAACAGTTTTGACATATTTCTAAAACAAGTTGAGAATATTCGTCTCTTCCACTCGTTGAAAATAAAGTAGTTAGTAAATTTCTAAGAATACATGTAGTTTCGTATATATCGAATAAAAACCATCTTCAGAACTGCATGGCATACCCAAAAAATGTCTTTAACTTACCATGCATAAAAACACATAAAGATATATATGTTATACCCTTGCAAAGGTAATAATTAATATTTTCCTGATTATAGTTTTCATTAGTTTCTTGCGTAGAGAGTTTGCTGTATCCATTTCTTTCTATGGGAGCTTCTACGAAAAACATAATGTTCCTCTTTCTAAATTAATTATAATATCGCTGTAAGATTGTCAAATGTACCCTCTGTATTTAAAATTATATCTACTAGAATCTCTTTGTGCTCCACTGATCTTGATAATAGCGAACTGAGGTTATCCAATCCGAAGTCTGTCCACTTACCCTATTGATATGCATACCTACGTTCACTTAAAGCGTCTACTCATTTACTATTCTTGATTTATCTATCAAGCAGAATTTGCAGGTTTTTTAATACTGTGTTTTCAAAATCTAATTCTAATTCTAATTCAAAAAGAGCTCTTCTATTATCCATGCAAACAAATCGTACTAACAATAGAGACCAAATCCAGAACGCTATTTCCATCGATATCTTTCTGAATTATTCATTATCTGTATAAGGTGCTATTAATTATTAAAATTAAGTCATTGTATTTCCCAGTCAAGTTTAAATTCATCTCATACGTTGTTTGAAAAGAATCATGGTGTCCAGGATGGTAGACAATTTTTCGGATATGGTTAGCGTGTTTATATAATTTTTTTTATTCGAAATCGAATTTTTCTGTAACGTCATCCAAAAGTACTGAATCCTGGAATATTATTTCATCTGCACCGGAAGAATATGTCTTTGTGTATTTTCAACATGTCTCTCTTAAGCTTTGCCAGATTTTTAAAAATTTTTGTACTTTTTCAAAATTAAATAAACTAAGTACATTAAAGAAATTGTAAACAAAATTAAATTTTACTTGTTGCTGCCCATTTTAAAAAACGACTTTTCTCGAAAATTGTCTATTTCATCGAAATAAATGTAGAGTATCTGTTACAAAGAAAATTCTTCAGAGTATCTAAATATTTTCAAATTAATAGCATAATATCTGTCAAAATATATATTGGGATCCGTTTCTGGATACCTTAAAATAGTAAAAAAACCGATGTCATTATCAAATCCGTGATACGTTATGCTAAAATTTAATCAACATATACAAAGTGGTTTCAAAGTTAGAACTCAAAACGTAAGCGTCTAGATTACCTACGCGTTTGAGGCAGGATATTTTTGCTGGAAGGAACATGAAAGTTTTCTTTAGGGTATAAGACAACTGACAATAAATTTAAAATAAGGAAATGTTATTACCTCGTATGTTTATCTTACGTTTCCTGAATTTTGCACGCCTATTGAATATACATTAAATCGCGTACTGTAATCATAATCACAGCCCGCAGAATGCTTTTAGGAAACTGTTAACACATGCATTTATCACAGTTAATGAGAATCTTTACCAATATGCTGGACAAAATAGGAAAGGTACATTTGCTGATGTTTACATGTTCTCCGTGATTTTTCAATGCCAAAAATTAAAGCAAGTCACTCTAGTTTAGCGTTACACTTCGCCACTTTCTAGGTAGACTTGGTCATCATTGTCTTACTAAAAGTGCGATTTCTTGTCTATAATATGCCAACCTTAACAGAAAATTTTATAGTTGAGTTTGTTCTGATAGCCGAAATGTATGA